TGGACCCCTCCTCTCTGTCCAGGATGGACCCCTCCTCTCTGTCCAGGGTGGACCCCTCCTCTCTGTCCAGGATGGACCCCTCCTCTCTGTCCAGGATGGACCCCTCCTCTCTGTCCAGGGTGGACCCCGCCTCTCTGTCCAGGATGGACCCCTCCTCTCTGTCCAGGATGGACCCCTCCTCTCTGTCCAGGGTGGACCCCTCCTCTCTGTCCAGGATGGACCCCTCCTCTCTGTCCAGGATGGACCCCGCCTCTCTGTCCAGGGTGGACCCCTCCTCTCTGTCCAGGGTGGACCCCTCCTCTCTGTCCAGGGTGGACCCCTCCTCTCTGTCCAGGGTGGACGCCTCCTCTCTGTCCAGGATGGACCCCTCCTCTCTGTCCAGGGTGGACCCCTCCTCTCTGTCCAGGGTGGACCCCTCCTCTCTGTCCAGGATGGACCCCTCCTCTCTGTCCAGGGTGGACCCCTCCTCTCTGTTCAGGATGGACCCCGCCTCTCTGTCCAGGGTGGACCCCTCCTCTCTGTCCAGGATGGACCCCTCCTCTCTGTCCAGGGTGGACCCCTCCTCTCTGTCCAGGATGGACCCCTCCTCTCTGTCCAGGGTGGACCCCTCCTCTCTGTCCAGGATGGACCCCTCCTCTCTGTCCAGGGTGGACCCCTCCTCTCTGTCCAGGGTGGACCCCGCCTCTCTGTCCAGGATGGACCCCTCCTCTCTGTCCAGGGTGGACCCCTCCTCTCTGTCCAGGGTGGACCCCTCCTCTCTGTCCAGGGTGGACCCCTCCTCTCTGTCCAGGATGGACCCCTCCTCTCTGTCCAGGGTGGACGCCTCCTCTCTGTCCAGGATGGACCCCTCCTCTCTGTCCAGGGTGGACCCCGCCTCTCTGTCCAGGATGGACCCCTCCTCTCTGTCCAGGATGGACCCCTCCTCTCTGTCCAGGGTGGACCCCTCCTCTCTGTCCAGGATGGACCCCTCCTCTCTGTCCAGGGTGGACGCCTCCTCTCTGTCCAGGGTGGACCCCTCCTCTCTGTCCAGGATGGACCCCTCCTCTCTGTCCAGGGTGGACCCCGCCTCTCTGTCCAGGGTGGACCCCTCCTCTCTGTCCAGGATGGACCCCTCCTCTCTGTCCAGGGTGGACCCCTCCTCTCTGTTCAGGGTGGACCCCTCCTCTCTGTCCAGGGTGGACGCCTCCTCTCTGTCCAGGGTGGACCCCGCCTCTCTGTCCAGGGTGGACCCCTCCTCTCTGTCCAGGATGGACCCCGCCTCTCTGTCCAGGGTGGACCCCTCCTCTCTGTCCAGGATGGACCCCTCCTCTCTGTCCAGGGTGGACCCCTCCTCTCTGTCCAGGGTGGACCCCTCCTCTCTGTCCAGGGTGGACCCCTCCTCTCTGTCCAGGATGGACCCCGCCTCTCTGTCCAGGATGGACCCCTCCTCTCTGTCCAGGGTGGACCCCTCCTCTCTGTCCAGGATGGACCCCTCCTCTCTGTCCAGGGTGGACCCCTCCTCTCTGTCCAGGATGGACCCCTCCTCTCTGTCCAGGATGGACCCCTCCTCTCTGTCCAGGGTGGACCCCTCCTCTCTGTCCAGGATGGACCCCTCCTCTCTGTCCAGGGTGGACCCCTCCTCTCTGTCCAGGATGGACCCCTCCTCTCTGTCCAGGGTGGACCCCTCCTCTCTGTCCAGGATGGACCCCTCCTCTCTGTCCAGGATGGACCCCTCCTCTCTGTCCAGGGTGGACCCCTCCTCTCTGTCCAGGGTGGACCCCTCCTCTCTGTCCAGGATGGACCCCGCCTCTCTGTCCAGGGTGGACCCCTCCTCTCTGTCCAGGATGGACCCCGCCTCTCTGTCCAGGGTGGACGCCTCCTCTCTGTCCAGGATGGACCCCGCCTCTCTGTCCAGGGTGGACCCCTCCTCTCTGTCCAGGGTGGACCCCGCCTCTCATCCGTACACAGCTGCAGATAGACACCAGCACCCCTCACCACCCTGCTTGGGATAAGCGTGATGGATGGTTTTAACTTTGTTTAAATACCAACAGGCCATAAAGAAAATTAGTTTAAATGAAACAAAACAAAAAATTTTTAAGGACTAGAAAGTAGAGATAATTGCTAAAAAAAAATGTACGTAGTAGAAGTAAAAAATTATCTAAAAAATAATTACTCCAGTAAAGTATATATAGCCAAAATTGAACAAAGTAATGTACTTGACAGCTCTGGATGAGTCTACATGTAAATAAGGAGAACAGAAGACTTTAGTTAGAATAGTTTAGGGAGACGTTTAGCATCACATTTTACCCAGAATGCATTGGATAATAGGGCGTTTGAGGAAAGTAAAAAATAAAAAATACAACAAACTAAATAGACCCTGCAACCTGACAATAGCACGAAACAAACCAGGAAATTCCCCAAGGACGGGCGGAGTTCCTCCTTTTATTCTGGGTTTGAGGTTGCACACTGCAAAAACGATCTAGAAATTAGTAAAAATGTCCTTAATTTATTGTATTCACCCATAATTTGAGTAGGTAAATGAGAAAGTTTGCCAATGGAATGAGTAATTTTACTCTTAAAATAAGATAATTAGATAATATGCACTTAAAATAAGACAATGCAATAGTGTTTTCTTATTTTAAGTGTAATTTGTCTTGTTCCATTGGCAGAATGTCTCTTTTACCTCCTTAATTCAAGAACAAGTGCCCTTATCTTAAGAAAAAATAACTTATCTAGATTTAGATTTTTTTCAGTGCATCTTAAAAATCTTTTGGCGCATCTTTGATTGTGACAGCCCATTAAAACACTGTTAAATGACAACATGAACGTCACCGTCTTCAGAGTAACTAAAGACGCTCCGGGTCGATTCACCTCTTCCACAAACAGCCCATTAGGCTCATTCTCTGTTACTAAAACACAAAAAAATCAGAAGCAATAAACAGACCTGCAGATCATTTGGGGAGTGTTTATTTGTAACAGGTAATAATACATGGTGAAATATGTAAATCAAGATAGAACCCAAAGTAAATCATCTAAAAACCCGACGTAGAATGTCATATTCAATAAAGATAAAAATAATGCTTCAATTTACATTAAGAAAGTGTTAGCTGAGGTAAAGTTAAAATAGGTCTAGAAATGTTATGTACTAAACAGCAACGGTTCCCTTTTTATTCCGCTTCTTCGCTCACCTTCTAGTAGTTTCAACATTTGTAGGTTAATTATTATCCTCGTCCAAAAGAGATTTGGAGCTGCATGGGGACCCTGGCCATAAAATAGGGATATATTGGCGTCACAGTTAATGAAGCTGTAGCAGGGGATGTTGCAGAGGGGATTAAGCACCTGTCCAACAGGTGATGGATGAAGGGCTGGAGACACAGTGACAGTCAGGTGGTGCGGCTGCAGCTGCTTCAAACACAATGCCGAGTGTTTAGTGGTTGAAAGGCACAGGGCTGTGCCACGCGTCTGGTGGACAAACTGTAGGAACTAATATGCTCCGGGCATAAAAGGAATCTGCAGCGACGGGACCACAGAAGAGGAAGAGGGGCGTGCTGCACGGTTTAGAAGCTGAACTTACTCCGAGTGACGCGTATAAGCTGAACAAAAAGACGATGCAGTGCAGAGCTGAAGCTGCAAACAAAACTTTGAGGGAGAAAAATAAAAAACATGCAGTGCTTTGCAAAAATATTCACAACACAGAATGTTCTCACATTTTGTCATATTGTAACCTCAAATCTCAAAGGATATTGGCGGCGAAGTTTTGTGATAAATAAATACAAAATAATGTATGAATGTGGAAGAGAAGGAACATTTTTGTTCCTTCTTAATTAGCTCGTTATGGAGTTACATTAAGCCCTCAAATGGTTCTTTTCAGTGGAGCATTATGCTAACAGGACATTACTTTAAGGGTATTACAGTAAGGGTGGCTAACAAATGTATCCAACACTTTGTCCAACATCCTTTCACAGGACTGAATTTAAATGGGATATATTTTTTACAGGAATCAAGAGTTAAGGGCTTTAAAGTCAACTATCAGTTTTAGTCCGTGAGGCAGACACCCTGTCTACTTTTAAGGCTAGGCTTAAAACTTTCCTTTTTGATAAAGCTTCTAGTTAGAGTGGCTCAGGTTATCCTGAGCTATCTCTATAGTTCTGCTGCTATAGGCTTAGACTGCTGGAGGACATAGGGACCCCTTTTTCATCATTCTGCTTCATTCTATCTCTATTCTCCCACTCTGCAGAATCTGTTAGTTCAATCTCTAACGTTCTGCTCTCTCTGCTTTTTCTCATAGTAGCTTCATCTGGTCTGTTCCTGTTTGGCTGTGACTCCATCCTGGAGAGAAATATCAGCTGTGCTGCTGCCATCAACACCTTTGTTTCTAGATGTTGGAGCTTGGCCTGTCTTCCAGTGTAGTCCTGTTTCTCTGACTGTGACTAACTGGATGTGCTCTCTTCATCCTCTGACATGGGAGCTGGCTCGGAGCTCGTCTGCCTGGCTGTGTGTTTCCTGGACGGGGCCGCCTGTGGAGCTGGTTGACAGTTGCCTTTTGTATCTATGCTTCTTTTTCTATGTCTGCTTCTGTCTCCTTGAACCCCAGTGGGCCTCAGCAGATGGCCGCTCACACTGAGCCTGGTTCTGCTGGAGGTTTCTTCCTGTTCACAGAGAGTTTTTCCTCTCCACTGTCGCTACAAGCATGCTTAGTGTGAGGGATTGCTGAAGAGTCAATGAGTCGATGCAATCAGCTGGTTTTCCTTGGATAGAAAACTTTGAATCAATCTGACTGGTTGATCTGGTTGAACTGGAAAGTGACCTGAGATGACATGATGTGAATTGGAGCTATAGAAATAAACTGAACAGAATCAGAAATAATTCATAAAACCTTCTTCCCAGGACTTTAGTTCCTAATCAGGTGATGTCTGAAGGGAACTGGTTAGAATGGTTCATTCATGGTATTGGATTGAATACAGCTAAATACTTTTTTGGGACCATATTTACCAGGAATTTGTTTTTCGTTTCTTTAAGTGAAATGGGCTAAACGTTAATAAATACCAGAGCTTTCAGATTTCTACTGGGAGCAAAACTAGAGAGAATCTTAGCTTTTCCTTCTGGTTCACATCTTTGTGTTACTTTGTGTTGTTTTCTTTATCATTAAAACAGAAGACATTATATTTGTGGTTACAAAGTGACCAAATTTTGAAAAGTGTATGAATACCTCTGCAAGGCACTGTGTGTTGGTATTGCTTGGGTCAAACATCAAGAGTTTGCATAACTGAAGCCTTCCTATTTTATGGCGCAGACGTCCGGTGGACAAAATGGTTGTTGTTGTTCTCATTATTTACAAAATGAGTTTGGCAAATCAAGGATCGGATGCCTTAAAGCCATGTTGACTCTATATCTCCTATAGAGCTGACCCCAGCGGCTTGATTGACTTAGAAAATAAAAATTCAATTTTTCAGGTTGATCTCTCTTTTTTCTTTTACATCATTATTGTACAAAAAGCTAAAGAGAATGAAGAGTTCAATCACAGGATCTGTTTAAACTTGCAACTCTTCCCTCCCAGGGTCCATTCCTCCACCAATGGTCTGGTTGTCTGACCTCTGCGCCGGTCTGTCAGCGAGCAGAGGCGTTTGGCAAATTACTGCGTGTGCGAATGTTACACAAGGTGTGGCATGGCTGTGTGTGTGTGTGTGTTTGCATGTAGGCTCACTGCTGTGTGCAAAGGATGCATGGAGTGTGAGTAGCTCCCAGAGAGTCTGATTCTGCATAGTGATCCAGCAGACACTCACAAGCAAGGGGCAGAAAACACCCTAATCAATCATCAACCAATCAGAAGCAGTGATCCCCAGTAACGGGCTATCCCTGAAAGAGTCTGGGCACCTCCCGAGGGATTGCCTCGCTATGCGTATGCAGGTTCTCTCCGTTAAAAACCACACGTGCATGTGTGTGTGCGTGTGTTTCACAAACGGGGAGGCACTGCTTGACTCAGTCTCATCCAGGCAGCAGAGTCTCTGGCCAGACACGACAGGCAGAGGAAAGGGTGTGGGAGCGAGGGAAGGAGGGAGGGAGGAAGGAGGGAGGGAGGGAGAGGAGTGGCTCATGTCCGTAAGGCTGGGTGTGAATCGCTGGAGGGAGGGGAGCAGAGAAGAGCTGGACCTGTCTGGGTGATGGATGTCCCTCCTGCCTGTGGAGGATGACTGAGAGGGCTCTCTCTCCTCTTAGGAGGAGGAAAGACTGCAGAGAGGTGGAGGAGGAGGACGGTGGGAGTGTTGAAGCTCCTCCTGGGAGGTTGTTAGCAGGAAGAGAAGATGAAGGACTTGGCCAGGCAGGGATGTGCCAGACATGCACGCTCACTCCAAAACACACACGCACGCACGCTCGCTCGCTCGCTCAGAGGTAAAGGGTTCTCCTCCTGTTCGCTCAGTGCTGGTCAGGTCTGTCTTCCTGGGTATCTCTTTATTTCTTCCCCTTGTTTATCTGGGCGTAGAGAGGATCCTTCCCCTTCTGTTAAAGAGAGAGAACAAAATCAGCCACCTTTTTCTTTGTGCATCTAGCGCCTGGCCTCTGCACTCCCTCTGAATGCAAAACTGCTTATTTCCACTGCAAACATCATAAATGCACAAGCCGTGACAGGTGCAAGCTGGAGCTGCTGGGGTTTTTCTCATGCTACACCTAAAACCACCACCAGAGGGCAGTAGCACATCACCTATAACTCCAAAATCTGTTTTTTTTCATCACTCACTGAAGTTTTTTATTTTTTATGTGTGTGAGTTATTGTTTCTGTGTGTCATTGTGCTCAGACATGCATGTTCCATCCTACCTCAGGTTCCCTCCAGGACCAGAATGAATCAGAGGTATAAACCAGTGCCTTAAAACACCGGTTCTGAGTCATCATGTCTGAATTTGTCTCTAATCTAGCCAGAAGACCACATCACAGGATGGAACATCCTGCAGCCAGAGCACCGAACCCTGCTGCACGCTGCTCACAACGGGGCGGTTATTACCGCACGCATAATTACAGCCAGTCATTCAGTTCACCGTACTGGCAGCCTCTTCTGAAGCTGGACTATTAAACTGGAGCTGTCCGTCTCAGAGAGGAGAGGAAGGAGGATTTAGAGGTTGGAGTCAAACTGAGAGGCAGTAGAAACTTATAAAAAAAAAACGATACGCATGCTTCAATAAAACAATCTGTTCGGCTACAAAAGCAAAAATGTAACGCAACCTGCAGGATTTGGAAGTAGAGAAAATGAAAACAACAACAAAAAATTGGGATGAACATCCAAACAGCATTTCTCCAGGGTGTTATCTATCAAGATCATTGCATTTTTATACTATCTTCTCTTCTAAATTCATATAACTTGATTACATGCTTGATAAGATGCATTATTTTACTTTTATATTGATCAGAACTATTTTATTATCTTTTTTTGGCTCTAAAAACTTCTCTTTAAAGTTGCAGAAGGATCAGTGTTGTCATCACATTTTTTTTTTATGAACTATGAATGAAAAGCTTCCCCACAGCATAATGCTGCCAGCACCATGGTTCACTGTAGTGGGGGTGTGTTCAGGCTGGTGTGTATTTCTGTTAGCACTCGCAGCATTACACATGGAGGGAAAAAAGAAAGTAAACTGATCTGATCTGACTGGGTTCCTCATCCATAAACCACCTTCAAATGTGTTTGTGTTGTCTAACAAAAATGATTTTCTTATACTTTCTCCTCCACAAAGGCCATATTATTAAAGTACATGACTTATTGTTGTCCTCTCTTGTCACACCAGAGCTGTGGATCTCTGCAGCTCCTCCAAAGTTACCATGATTGTGACTTTTTTAAATAATGCACTCAATGCTGCCCTGTGGCTTTGGGTCGATCCACTAATGAGGTCTAAAGGTAAAACCTTTCACTTAACTTTATCGAGGGGTATCAGACTAAAACAGCTTACCAAACATATCAGACTTTAAAAATGTGGAAAATGATATATGCAATTCCCTTCAAGCTTATGTTAAAATGTGTCGTTGTTGGTCACATAAAAAAGACACAATAAAGTTTGCAGGATGGAGACATTTCTAAAAGTTCAAAGTTAGAAAACTTTGGGAAGAAAATATATTAATAAATAAGAAATATTTAAAAATATATATAAATATAAAAGCTAAATTCAAAGATCTATAAGTATTAATGCGCAGGATTTCCGTTGGCTTTGGTGAATCAATGTTTACACATTAATCTACAAACTATCAAAGAATATTCGAATGCTGAGCGTGGAAAGTTTCGGCTCCTTTCCTCAAACACCTGCTTTCAGTTTTTTTCCTGCGTCTTTTTTAACGTATGAATCAGATTTGATCAAATCCAGAACAGGGGTTGAATTAAACAGGTTAGAGAAGTTGCCAATGCCCCACCCCCCCCCAAAAAAACACGTTAAACGACCTTAAAAGATGAAAGAAACATCGATCAAGACCAATTTAAAAGAAATAAAGTCACTTCTGAGATAACAGTTTTAATTGATCCATAAACTATTCCTAGAAGGTATCTCAAAATAAAATTAAAATCCTCTGTTGAGTGGGAAGAGGGTTGTCTTTCAAAATAAAATGTTAATAGAGACAATAGATATTTGCAAAACATAAAAATAGTATTATGTATTATATTATATATATTAATAGGAAAGTGAAGAAATCTGAGCTTGTAAAATGTCGAGTTACCGCCGCCACACAGCAGACAGTTGTGAGTCTGGGACGTCGGCCTTAGCTGAGAGCTTGGGCTGTAAATGTAGCAGCAGCCAAGGCCAAGCAGTCAGCAGAAAGTAGCTGCCTGCAGCCCCCGGAGAAGTGACAGCGAGGCTGAGACCAGCAGCGACAGCAACACTTCACGCTCAGCCAATGCACCACAGCCACCGCCCTGCGGCGTCGCCTCACATCTAACCAGTCCTGCCAGACGAGGCCACTTCATCCCCAGCCAAGACAGAGAGCTGGGGGGGGGGTGTTGGGGTATGAGTGATGTGCTTGTGTGGCCAAGGTGTCTGATCTAGCTAGGTGTGTGTGGGCTGGGCTCTGTGAAATCTTATCAGTGAACCGTGGAAGCTGGCCATTTCACGGCGGGGACTAGAGAGCGTTCACTGGACATGATGAGATGACCTGATGAAGAAAAAAACAGCTACGCTCCAACTACACATGTCTGTGGACGCAGCTTTTGGCAGCAATAGCAGCGCAGGTGGTGGAGGTATCAATCACAGGTGTGCCTGCCTAGGGAATAGCTGAGCCTATTAAGACAGGTGTGTTTTAGGGAAGATGTCTGAAGTCGATGTGATTGAGCAAGTAAACACCATATGGGGGCGACGCCGCTGGACCAGAGCAGTCCACCTACTGCAGGAGAAGGGCGCTCCTGGCCATAAGAATCAAGTTTCAGCCAGATTCAGCCTCACAACTCCACATCCACCTGCTGCCCTGCAGCCTGCAGAGCCTCTGGGTAGCAGAACGGGGGCCAAAGGAGGGGGAGACAAGCTTCTCAGCCAGCCCTCCTCCTCCTCGTCCTCCTCCTCTGGAATCAAAAGGCACTTCAGGGCTTCTTCTGCTTGAATTAATGCCAATTATATAGGGCTAGTCATTAATCTTGGCACCCAAGTATTAGCTGATGAAAACAAAACCATTGGATTTTTCCCAGTGTGAGCGCCAGCAGCTATCATTAAGGAGCCACTGTTGAGAATGGTGTGGGTGAGGACGGCGGCTGGGGAGGCAGAGATCAAAATGGCTCTCCTCTTTGGAGTGTGTGTGGGTCTCCTTCTCCCTTATTCAATAAGCAAACTGCACCTCCACATGTTCCCGTACATTTTGGTAAGATTATTTTGGCTAATCTTTATTAGTTACGTCATTCTGCAGCGATGAGCTTCTGACCTGTTAGATTACATATATAATTCATAGAATGTCAGCATAGATCACGCTTTTACCAAGCTAAGAATCTAAGATTAACATAACGTGCCCAAATCCCAGCAGACGAGCTGCTCATCGAAGTGCACGGTTTCTGATTAGCTGCCACGCGCTCTTTCTCAGGGACATGTGAGCTATTTACGGACCCGGGAGTGAAGACGGGACACAATGAGAGCAAAGATTCGGCAAAAGACTCACTGCACAACTTGTACCAAATCTTAAATAAGACTCTTTAAGTTTATCACTTTTTGTTGCCTTACAATATATTTTCTGTACCAGATCAACACAAAGTACAATATAATTTACTGTAGAATGAAAATGATAAAGAAAATCAATAAAAACAGAAAGGTATTTGTTTACTGCACTCCTAATGCAGTACAATGCAGAAAGCCTTTTTCTGCAAGTCTTTTTGACCTCTTAGTTTTAGCTAAATTGAATATACACTCGCCGGCCACTTTATTAGGTACCCCATGCTAGTAACGGGTTGGACCCCCTTTTGCCTTCAGAACTGCCTCAATTCTTGGTGGCATAGATTCAACAAGGTGCTGGAAGCATTCCTCAGGGAGTTTGGTCCATATTGACATGATGGCATCACACAGTTGCCGCAGATTTGTCGGCTGCACATCCATGATGCGAATCTCCCGTTCCACCACATCCCAAAGATGGATTGAGATCTGGTGACTGTGGAGGCCATTTGAGTACAGTGAACTCATTGTCATGTTCAAGAAACCAGTCTGAGATGCTTCCAGCTTTATGACATGGCGCATTATCCTGCTGAAAGTAGCCATCAGAAGTTGGGTACATTGTGGTCATAAAGGGATGGACATGGTCAGCAACAATACTCAGGTAGGCTGTGGTGTTGCAACGATGCTCAATTGGTACCAAGGGGCCCAAAGAGTGCCAAGAAAATATTCCCCACACCATGACACCACCACCACCAGCCTGAACCGTTGATACAAGGCAGGATGGATCCATGCTTTCATGTTGTAGACGCCAAATTCTGACCCTACCATCCGAATGTCGCAGCAGAAATCGAGACTCATCAGACCAGGCAACGTTTTTCCAATCTTCTATTGTCCAATTTCCATGAGCTTGTGCAAATTGTAGCCTCAGTTTCCTGTTCTTAGCTGAAAGGAGTGGCACCCGGTGTGGTCTTCTGCTGCTGTAGCCCATCTGCCTCAAAGTTCGACGTACTGTGCGTTCAGAGATGCTCTTCTGCCCACCTTGGTTGTAACGGGTGGTTATTTGAGTCACTGTTGCCCTTCTATCAGCTCGAACCAGTCTGGCCATTCTCCTCTGACCTCTGGCATCAACAAGGCATTTCCGCCCACAGAACTGCCGCTCACTGGATGTTTTTTCTTTTTCGGACCATTCTCTGTAAACCCTAGAGATGGTTGTGCGTGAAAATCCCAGTAGATCAGCAGTTTCTGAATTACTCAGACCAGCCCTTCTGGCACCAACAATCATGCCACGTTCAAAGTCACTCAAATCACCTTTCTTCCCCATACTGATGCTCGGTTTGAACTGCAGGAGATTGTCTTGACCATGTCTACATGCCTAAATGCACTGAGTTGCCGCCATGTGATTGGCTGCTTAGAAATTAAGTGTTAACGAGCAGTTGGACAGGTGTACCTAATAAAGTGGCCGGTGAGTGTAGGTTGTTTAGGACCGTCACACTAATAAAGCTTATACGACTAAAGCAACATAGCAGAAACTCTTCCATACTGGAGGGGGAGCGTCTCTAAAAAGTGATTGCAGTCTTCACAGGTTTGTAATCAGGGATGGAGGTGTTGGAGTTATTATGATTTCTGTTGTTTTGATCAGTTTATTCATTTATATCTTTTATATTGCTTTTAATCATTTATATGTTCTATATGTTACTCTCATCATTGGAAATAGTGTATGAAGGCCATAAGACAAATGTTTTGCAAGAATGTTTTCCTGTTTTTCATTTCGGAACTTCAATCGGAACTAACGCCTGCTGTTGTAATGTGTTGGCTGCTCAATAAAAAGCCTGGCAAGTGTTGAGCCAAGCGGAGATGCAGAGATTGACAGTTAAACTCTGTGCTCCTCTTTGCAAAGCATTTCAGGAAAAATCTTACCCTGTCTTTGTTTCATTTTTTATAGGTTAAAGTTGGGGAAGCTTAACAACCCTAACATGACTGGTTAATTTAAATGGGAAGAATCTTTTTGACTCAGATTCTCAAGGTTGAGAATCAGTTCTTTTTTAAATGTATTACTGCGATCAAACACACTTTTTTTAGCTGTTAAATGAATTAAATGATTGTTTAGTTATGCAATACATTGCTACTAGTGCTTTTTATTAACTTTTAAGAGCAAATGAATGACGCAACAGTTAAAGGTGGCTGTAAGGACAGTGGAAAAAACATTAGACAAAGATAGACAAGAATCAATCTTTGGTTATTATTAGGGGTGCACTGATTGCAGGTTTCTAGCCGACCAAATCTTCCCCATCTTTAAAAACTCAGACACGCCAATTCTGATTTTGACCGATAAAGATTTTCTTTTTTATAACCCACACTGTAAATTATTAACCTGACTCCGCCAGATGGATTTGCTCCACATATCCATCTGGAAACCTTCTGCTGAAGTAATTTTGGGAAGGGGCGAAAATACTGGTTAGCTGATTGGCCTATGTTGGTGATAGACGGGCCAAATAAACCAATCAGATCAACCAAGCATATGACGTACTAACAGAGCGACGACGAAGAGGAGCCAATTGATAGATCAAACTCTTGCCGAAACCAGTCGGGAGAAGAGCAAAAACATCTTTTCCTCTGAGAAAAGCCTCCAGAGCAGTGTTTTGCTCTTCTTTCAGTGAAGAAATACTCTGTAATTCCCATAAAACTTGCTCGATAGCCACGCTAACGCTAGTTTCATCGGCTGAAGCCGCCATGTTCTTTAGACTGAACTGTCGCGCTTCTCGTTGCGTCACACCTCAACCCGCCTCAAAGCCAACGCTGATTGGACGTTCGTTTGGTGAACGGCTCCAAATTTTCTTCAACGGAGAGTCTCCAGACTGATCTGCGAGTGAAACCTTGAAAGCTCGCGAGATCAGGATGGTCTCACGAGGCTAGTGAATTATTATAAGATCAAAGGTCACTTTCAATATTTCCATCTTATCTTACTGAAAAGCATACGAACCTCTGAAAAGCCTTCTTCATACGTACGCACCTGTGAAACAATAGAAACTCTGCTCTCAAGTGAAGAGCATGAAAGTGGGGGATTTTCAGAGCTTTGCAGGTAGAGCAGAGATCAGTCGATCATAAATCTCCCAAAATGAAGGAAACTAATCAATTGGTGCACCCCAAATTATAATAGCTCGTTAGAAATTAATATGAAAATACAGAATAATTAAATTTATAATAATAAATGACACAGAACTCAGAGAGACGGTTAAAGGTTTTCATATTGTTTTTTTTTAACGTAAGGCTGCTATAAACTCATCTACAACTTAGTTGAAATATTCTTTTTTTTTTTACCAGCTCCTGGTATTTAACATAAAAGGGACTGAAGACAAATACTGGATGTTTTACTTCAGAATGATGCAATACTCTCTGTGTGTTGCACATGATAAGAAACCCCATTAAAATAGGCTGTCACTGTTCCAACAAAAATAAAATACCAACATTTCCAATGAAGGCCATGGGTGGTAACAGGTCGTTTGGTTTTAGTACGCACTTCGAGCTTGACTTGTAAAAGCAAAAATAAAAAATATATATAAAAAAATTACTTCAAATGTCTTGGAACTTAGTAGAAATGAAAGTTAATGTTTTAAGCTCCCAAAAAAGTGGTAAAAAAAAATCATTTTTCAAAAACCTCCTGTCCACATTAGACATTTAGCAAACCATCCTCCAACACCTGGGGTGCTCTTAATCACTCAAATTAATGGGAGGGTCTAACGATTAAGAACTTACTCCAAACAAATGTAAAAAATAAATAACACATCCTGGTTCTAAATTAACTTTAATATATATTTATATACCAAAAGACAAAAACTAAATTGGTAGAAATAACAAATTACAAAAAGTTAGCATAAATGGCCACAAAATAGCCTGAAGTTATAATGATACAAAATGCAAAAAAAAAGTTTAATAGTTCTGTTTGTGAGGTACAGTGCACCACGATTAAACTAAAATAAAATAGAAAGAGCAGCAAAAATTAAAAGAAAACCCACAGTGTCATTGATGTACAATCTACGGTGGCCCTGAAGTGCAAACTGCAACTACAAATCTAAAAGCGCAACTACATTAAGGAAAACACAATTACATTAACCTACCGGAAAAGGTAGGTACCAGTGGGAAACATGAGACATCGCTGATTGGACGACGGCGCCGTTTGACCCTTGAACCGGAAGTGATTCTGCCTACTGTGGCTTTTGAAAACATGGATATTATCGGCGCCCCAAACATAGCTGCCGTTATCCAGGAATATTTTGAATCAGGACATACGTACGAGGTGATACTGGATATGCTCAAGACTAATCACGAAATTTCAGTTAGTTTGCGTACACTGAAGACACACTTAAAAGAAGCTGGACTGTTCAGACGACGCAACTTCCGGTTCAAGGGTCAAACGGCGCCGTCGTCCAATCAGCGATGTCTCATGTTTCCCACTGGTACCTACCTTTTCCGGTAGGTTCATGTAAATGCGTTTTCCTTAATGTAGTTGCGCTTTTAGATTTGTAGTTGCAGTTTGCACTAAGGGGCTACCGTAACAATCAGACATGACTCAGCACTCAGACTCCAACACATGTTTTGCAGAAGCTCACAAAGGAGAAGAAAGGACAGAAGGATCCACTGATTCCACATAGCAGTAAAAAGATGCATGTTGGAGGATTGAAAGGCAAAAGGGAGAAGAGATACATGCAGAGGGACTGAGGGAGGGGTGGTGAGAGTGAAGGTTGTGGGGGGGGGATTCATACCTACCCTGCCCTGCTGCTATCTAGCTCCCAGCCTCTGGACCGGCCTGTTCTGGGCTAGGCTCTGCTGTCTCACTGGGACAGGGTGACCCAGAGCCACACGCCTAAAGACAGCAAGAAGGGATGGAAGGAGGGGAGTGGAGGGGGGGGGGGGAGTAAGAGAAGCAAAGAGCAGAGAAAGAGGAATAAATCTGAGGGACTGAAGAGTTGTTAAAAGTTATAAGAACAGAGCAGATTGGAAGCAAAGATAAAGCTTTTAGAAGGAGAATTAATACAAGTTGTCCAATTTCTCAGAAACATTTGAAAGGCAGACAAACACAGGACTCATTCACACACTCGTTTATAAAAGCCTCTATGGAGTTACTTTATTGATCCGGTGCTTTTTACACCTCGCCCCGCAGAGCGACGCGCCGCTTCTCTCCATTGGCGCCGTCGGCCCTCCCCTCCGTAACCTTTTCACTGAACTCGCTCAGCGCTGCCGCCCGCACATATTCCTCAGGCTTTTCTTTTTCCCCTCTCCTGTTTTCGGGTTGGGGTCGTGAAAAGGCTTATGTGTGTTATTTAGGCCTGCTGACATTTTCAACAGTGTGGAAGTCTTTTTTTTTTTCAATAATAGCTTCACTGGAGGCATAAAAGTAATGTTTCATGTCTGGAAATAAGAGTAGAGAGATGCAGAAAATCCTTGGAAGGTCAGAGATTCAAATCCCATTTTTTTTTAAGTTTCTTCGACTTTTTAACTTTGATTAGAGCAAAACGGGAACTATCAATCGCCCCAGGAGGAGAAGCGGGGCGCTCTGCCGCCTCCAGCGTCCCAACAGAGATGAACCTGTCTGTTTAGAAGTGGTGATGTATGGATGCTACCTGCCTGATATTAATAACAGCTTAATGATGTCTTTGACAATCCCACCAGCTAATTTAACGCTGCGTTGACCATGCACACACATGCATGCACACACACACTCCCCCCCCTAGCTTATATCCACCCGGTGAACCACGTTTGATGTGCATTTTTGCACGCACTGACACAAACACGCGGTTATGAGGCGACACAGCGTCGTCGGCCCCCTAATCAGCCGGAGTGATTACCTGGCCCGCCAACGCTGCAGCAAAGGCTATTTATCAATGCACATTAACACAGCGTGTAGGTTATAGAAGCATCAGAAGGTGCTTCTTAAAGGTGTACACACACTTACGGCATCCTCCTCTCCGCTGCGACTGGGACTGCCCTCCGCCTCACCGAACGAGTCGTCTGTAGGGGGGTCTGTGGCATCCGTCGTGGGGTCACTGACATGAGAAGCTGAGGACTTGGACGGTGAGCTCTGCCTTGGTGCCGGTGTGGGAGCTGCAGAGAAAGATTCACGGCTTTTACTTGGCGGCAGGCAGTTGGGCGACAGAAAGGAGCAGAGCACTCACGAGAGTTGGTGGACGGCGTTGTGGACGTGACCGGCGTCAGATTCATTTGGGAAATGTCAAAGTCGTCACAGTCATCCGTGTCCTGGGCGGTGCCCACCCGGCTGAAATAGGAGCTGAACGCCTCTGTGGTTCCTGCTAAACTGGGCTGGTCGCCCTTCTTAGAAGGCATGGCTGGAGGCTTCGCCAGCTGGAAATCCTGAAGGAACAGGAAACATCCGGTCAGAGGAAAAATAAACATTTTTTAAGATAGTTAAAATGTGTGAATGGGACTGATCCCATATCAGCTTTGATGCAGTAAAAGTTAAGTTAAGCTGGGGTTTAGATGTTGGTTTTTCGGCTAAATCTGATCGGTCCTCTGAGTCTTGAGTTAGTCCAAAAATTATTCCCATCAGGTTATGTTCGGTCCATCTGATTTTGTCCCCCTTTAGTCCAATCATAGACGTTTAAACAAAGGTGTAAAGTTTTCAGTTTTCAATATCTTTTCAACAATCTGAATAGTACTACTTTTCAACCAAATGTAGTCGTCGTTTCGACAAAAATCACGTCATCTTTATAATGCCTTGTCAACCAGTTTTTTTCTTTATGTAACATTAAAGCAACAGGAATAAACTCGTAGTTTGGGGTGAGAACAGCCAAATGTTATCAGTCCATTTAAGGTGTATTTTAAATTATGAAGGAAAATGCAAAACAAATGCTAGAAGTTATTTCTATAGAGATATGACTTTAAATCTAAACAGGGAGTAGGGATTAGGAAAGAAGAATCAAAGGGGTGTTAATAGAATAACAAATGCAAAAACAAGTAAAAAAGAAATAAGGACATAAGAGAATAATAATAAAATAGAAAATAGAAGGAAGGGAAAAAAAGCAGAGAGAATCAAAGGAAGGATGGAAGCAGAGAAATGTAGCATTTAGATGGCTGACCCCTAAAGTTAAGGTCATAGATCAATAATTGTGGGTTTTTAAGGATTTTTTACAGCAATGTACAAGTAGAGTAAAAATCATCATTGTGAAGAGTATCGATTTATGTAAGAGATAAAAGCATAATTTAGAAATAGAAAAAATGCATTGCTCATTGTTGCTGCTTGTATCATCATTGTTAATAGAACACCCATGTTTAATTGATTTTAATAGAAATGTTTGTATAGTTTGGTTGTGAATGTTTTTGAGCCAGAAACGGAAAACTTTGGGATTTAGACCTTAGAACACCTTAACATCCACCTCATTTCTGGAAAATTCGCCTAAAGCAAATAACTGAAGAACTGTAAGCCCAAATGACATGTGTGATACGTTATTTGAAAGCTAAGACCCTCTAGTTTCTGAATTTATACATGAAAATTGGGTGAGTAGAACACCCAAGCTGCATCAGTTCAAACATGGCTCAAAGTTGAATTTTTTTATTATTCTCGAAAATAATAGGTCTTTTTTGAACAGCAGTAATAAAGACATGTTTGCTTGTTGTGGCTGCTTTGTCAGGCTACATTTCCACATGCTGCTATAATTGTGTTAATTGTGCTTTGGTGCTCGCTGTGTCCATAAAATGAACTAGGTGGTTGAATTGTGGAGAATCTAAGCTTTCCAACGATGTCTAACATGTCTGTACTGGTAAACATTTTACTGGTGGAATTTTCATGCATTCTGAGTTATTATTTGTAAACTTTTTAAAATGGGTCGCCGGCGACCCGGTGGGTTTTGAAAGGTTAAATATCCTTTACATTTTAAAGCAGTAAATTCTTAAAAATGTCTTTCAGGTCACAATTTTAATCTATTATAGATTACCAATGTTATATTAACTATCCACTTTTAATGATGCAAAAAAAAAACCTCACTTTACAGGAATTAAGTCGGCCTCAGCAGATGGCCGCTCACACTGAGCCTGGTTCTGCTGGAGGTTTCTTCCTGTTCAAAGGGAGTTTTTCCTCTCCACTGTCGCTACAAGCATGCTTAGTGTGAGGGATTGCTGAAGAGTCAATGAGTCGATGCAATCAGCTGGTTTTCCTTAGATAGAAAACTTGATTCAATCTGACTGGATGATCTGGTGAACTGGAAAGTGACCTGAGATGACATGATGTGAATTGGCGCTATAGAAATAAACTGAATAGATTTGAATTGAATTCAAATCTTTGGATGCAAACATTAGAATTGTTTGATTGATTTTCAACCTTTCATCTTTCATCCTATTGCACCTCAATTCTATTAGTATTAAAACTAAATCCACCTTTAAAACACCATAAAATCCCCAAATCAATAACATTCATCCCCTTTGTGAGCGCTGTGTGGAGCTGTACTGTAATCAAAGATGCTTTATTGATCTGTTCCCCACCTTAAACATCTCCTTTCCCATCTTCTTTGCCACTTCTCTATGCTGCGGACTGGATGAAGCCGACGGGGACGGAGTAGAAGCGCTGGCACCCCCCCCTGAATGGCCCTCGCTGGCTGGAGTCACGGTGGTGACAGGGGTGAGGGTCTGGAACATGGCAGCAGGCAGAGTGCCCACAGGTTGGGCTGGGAGGTAGGCTGTGGGGGAGAAGGCTCCAGCTGCCATGGCGGCCCACTGCTGCTGGGTTGCAGGGAAGATGTTGGCTTGGCCCCAGATCAGAGGCTGTCCACCCGGTAGGACCTGAGCTACCGGCCCCAGAGGAGACTGGACCCCGAAGGCTAGCGGCGTCTGGGCAGCGAACGCCTGCTGGGACCAGTGACCTGGAGGAACTGCTCCCATCGTCACATAACCTAGAAGCAGAGATTGGTCAAATTAGAAAGAATGCTTTAATTTTTCCCACATTAAAAGAAAATAAGAGAAGGAAATGATTGGAGGACCCACATACGGTGCTTCTCCTCTACACACAAACCCACAAAGATAATAAGACATGCATCACCAGAGAGTGCTGCCCTACTTCTGCCTGCAGCTAATGCGGAGCCTCTTAATGGTCATGGTGAACTATAATAATTACCTCCAGAATGAGGCAGAGTCATTATGAAAAGGCAGAGCACAACGCAGCCTCATTAAAATCACTCAAACTCATCAGCAAAAGGTACTTCTTATTACACACTGGCTAGTTCACAGCTTCTGCTCTCTGGTGGTTAACTACCGGAGAGGAGGTTGACATTTACCCTGGGCCGCTCTGACACATGCACAGAGTGATGACCAAAGGCCAGGAGAGGGGTAAATAAAGAGGCTCAGGAAGGCTCTGAGGTATAAGCCCTTTCAAAGGAATTTATAGCCCTTCAACTTCTACTGAGTTTTATTTTAAGTCCTTTTTTAAAAGCTGACGCTCAATCAGAGTGGATAGTATGGAAGAGGATTAGGGCCACTGGAAAAATAAAAAAAGTTAACTGATTTTTTAATTTTATTTCAGTTTAATCAGAATTCTGACTTTAATCTCAGAATTCGGACTTTTTTCTCAGAATTGTTGGTTAATCTAGATAAGCACCATGAAGGCAGAGATGTGGAGTTCTCAGCTTCACTGACAAAGATCTGAGTTGTTTGGGAGGAACATGAGCACATTGGTGGAAAATGATAGAATTAGTGAAATTTTTCCATCCCTGAGGGGTCCCCGATGATGCTATTTCATTAATGGAAGAGAAGAAGGTGATTAAAACAAGAGAGATAGTCTGTAAAACAGGCCTGAATTCTTAGCCTGGTGAGACCATCCTGATCTCGCGAGCTTTCAAGGTTTCACTCGCTAATCAGTCTGGAGACTCTCCGTTGAAGAAAATTTGGAGCCGTTCACCAAACGAACGTCCAATCAGCGTTGGCTTTGAGGCGGGTTGAGGTGTGACGCAACGAGAAGCGCGACAGTTCAGTCTAAAGAACATGGCGGCTTCAGCCGATGAAACTAGCGTTAGCGTGGCTATCGAGCAAGTTTTATGGGAATTACAGAGTATTTCTTCACTGAAAGAAGAGCAAAACACTGCTCTGGAGGCTTTTCTCAGAGGAAAAGATGTTTTTGCTCTTCTCCCGACTGGTTTCGGCAAGAGTAGCCTGGCTGATAGTACGTCATATGCTTGGTTGATCTGATTGGTTTATTTGGCCCGTCTATCACCAACATAGGCCAATCAGCTAACCAGGATTTTCGCAGGATTTCCAGATGGATATGGGGAGCAAATCCATCTGGTGGAGTCAGGTTACTGAATTCTAACTTTAATCTCAAAATTCGGACTTTTTTCTGAGATTAAGGTCTGAATTCTGAGAAAAAGGTCTGAATTCTGACTCTTTTCCCAGATTATTTCGAAACAACATTTAAAAGTAGTTTTTTTTTCAGTGGCCCTAATCCTGGAGAGTGACTCTCATGCTTTTTCAAGCTCTGCCACAGATTCTCGATCAGATCTTATTACAGGGTCATTCCAAAATGAGTTAAAAAAATTCTTTGAGCTTGAAAAAACAATCATTTTACTAAAGAAATATGTTTAAAGTCTTGGTAATCTAGTGAAATAGTTATTGGTGGTGGTTGTAAACTTCCGCTGGAGTCTTAGACCGTCTCCAAAAGGCTCCCTTTCTGATTAAAGCTCTATTTTCACTGCATGATGCTGCCACTACCCTGCTTTACAGTGAGGATAGTGTGTTAAGGACAACGCTTGATGATAATTCATTTTACACACGAAAACGTTGGTAGAAAAACCCACAATGGTCACAGAAATAACTTGCTGTAATATGCTAAAATTCTATGAAAATAAACAAATGAAATGAAAGTGACAGGATGATTTAAACTAATAAAGGCCTGGACATTTTGCTGCAAAACCTTTTGAAGAAATCACAGAAATCAAACGATTCCTGTATCTGTCTCATGGTTTTGGGTCTATTTACATTTTCTCTTTGAGTTTTCATTGGTTTTATTTCCATTTTATGTGTTATTCTAGTTATTTTGCCCTCTTGTGTCATTATCCTTCTTCCAGCTCCCATCTAGATTCTTCAGTCCACACCTGTTAGTCGTCTGCCAACTGGTCCCTCCCATTGTTTCTGTCTCCCATATATACTCCTTCCGTTCACCCACTCTTTACTGGTTCCCCGTCATCGTGTGGCTCCTTGTGTGTTTTCCCTGATGGCTTGTGAATTTGAGTTTTTCTGTAATTTGGATTTTTATTTCTGGATTCTTAACCTTTAAGGAAACCACCTCAGAGTCCTTCTCTGCATTTCGGTCCTTCAAACCTCCACTCAACTTGACAATCTGCTGATGAGACTTCTGCTCGTCTCAGCTGGTATTTTGGCCCACTCCAACATTGAACTCCTCCGTGGAGTCTTTGGAGAATTTAGTTCACTTTGGGTCAAACTTTGACTGATTGTGATCGCTGATGTTCCTTCAGCTTGAAGTTCACCTTTATCCTCATTTTCTGGGCTCTTTTATCAGTATTATTCATCTCTTTGGTTTGTCATAAATTTTCCTCTGCAGGCACATCCAAAGAGGTTGGCTACATTACGGATCTTACATTTCTAGATATCGAACATTGAGCTGTTTTGAAATGGTTTTTAAAGCCTGTACCTTAAAAATGCTTGTCTATAATTTTATTCCTTTTTTTAATTTGATTGATTTTCACAACTTTATGTAAACATAAACAAAAATTAACAAAAACAGCCCACCCCAAAACAACAAGGAGCATTGCAGTGTCCACATATATATATATATAAATAAATAAAAAAAACCTACATAGAGCCTACACACACAAAATACAAACAGACAATCCCAGTCATGGTTCACCATAGTTAAAGCCGTTGGACAGCCACATGAATAATATACTGAATGTAGAAACAAGAAGGGAAATGATTAAAAAACAAGCAACAACAACAACAAAAAACTATGTATTTTATTGTTTGCACTAATTTTTAATGTTGTTGTTTTATTATGTTGGCATTTTAAACCTTGCCCAGGGACTACAGTTGAAAATTAGCTATTTAGCTAACACTGGCTCATTTACAGAAATGTTTATTAATGTGTACTGTCCCTGTTCAAATAAACACGTAAATAAAGAAAAAAATAAAAATCACATTCTCTGTAAAAAAAATTGCAGTGCGTTCCAGATCCTCCGGAATTCGTCAGATTTTTTGATGAAGATCATGGGTCAGTTTTTCAACTGTGATAATAGCTGAAATCTGTGATATCCACATATCAACTGTAGGGGTGTGGGAAATAATCATTTTTTCGATATATCGTGATATTCGGCTGCCCAATATAATATCGATCTTTCACTTCTTAGTATCGATAAAAAAAAAAATGGTTACATAAAACATTGATGGGAAAATGGGCTACCTCTGCACCACCACTCTGGCAGAAAGCGCTGTGGAGCCCTTTAACTGTGCGTGCAGCACCAAATCTGTATTTGAGGCATCACAGTGGAAGAAAACCCAAACAACATGGATAATAATACCTAATCAATATTTTCTGATGAAAATATACAGCACTTGCTGTTTTATCTCATCATTTGATTTTGATAGCTGGGGAAAATATGGCAATATATAGTGATACTGCAATATCGTGATAATATTGTATCGTGACCCAAGTATCGCGACATGTATCGAATCGCAACACTCATGCCAATACTCACCTCTAATCAACTGTAAGGGCCTGAGGTGCTGACCATCTCAGTAAAATACTTTTCTTGGCCAGAAATAAGAGAATTAAAAGCAAACGTTTAGTATCTGCATTAAGTAGAGTGTCTGAAGCGTGATTAAAAAGGCAGAAGGAGGGAGTGAGAACTGTTTGCCAATCATCTCTTGTATCATAACATGAACCGCTTTCCAAAAAGTTTGAATACAATTGCAAGACCAGAATAAATGAATAAATGTCCTCTTATGTGTTTTGCATTTATGACAAAGATCTGAAACATCAGGGAACATCCTCCAAAGGCAAACAGGTGTATAAAAAGTTCGGTAAAAGAATTTAAGGTTCTGCTCATGTATAGAAATTGAGGTACAGTTCGGGAAGACCCCATTACAGATTTCTTCCCAATCTGCTAGATCAAACATCAACCCTAGGTCACGCTCCCAGACCAGCTTCATAGCATTTGAGGAGTCAGAGCCCAACGATAAACTATAAATCTCAGAAATGAGTCCTTTAGGAGATTTGCTCATGACAACAATATTCTCTAACTCTGACAATTTTGTGCGTAGTTTTCCTTTCCTCAAGAGAAAACTCACAAAATGACGGATCCGTAGGTATATATAGAAATCCCTATTACTGAAATTGGCTTTAATTTGTTCAAAGGGTTTAACAGAATCAGAGTCCAGTATGTCCATAATCTCTGCCAGTAAATCTGGGTTCTAAGTTAACGGTATAGTTTTATTTCTAATCTCAGTCCCTTCCTCTTGTCCATGTTGAGTGTGGTACAAACCATGCCACCAGGCCTGTTTCATTGGTTTATTTTGTTCTGAATTATTCTGCTGAAGCGTGGTTGAAATTTTTGATGCTAATTTGTTCATCTTGACAGAATTTTCTTTTATTTTCATTGACTTTTGTCAGATTAAAGTTATTTTTGTGACCATTTAGTTTTGAGTTTTCATTAAATGAGGGGTACCGAGCATTTTGTCCAGGCGTGTGTTTAGGGATATAAAAGTAAAGGGGCTGTAATGCTTTCAGAATCTCATCAGTAAAAAATGTGGATCCTTCTCCTTCCACTTAGTGTTGTTTCACTATCAACTTAACATCAACTTAAAACAAAACACACTGAAGGTTGTGGTTGTAAAGTAACAAATCTTTACTTTAGTCTTCACATCTTCGGTTGCTGCTTTGCTCTGACCAACACAGCTGCCTCAGCCTCAGGTAAACCAGCAGCATCCAAGGCGGAGAGCTAATAAAGCATTTCATATTCAACACACAACCGACTCCACCTTTCCTCCAGGATCCGGTCATCTGCATTTCAATTCTGTTCCCTCTCTGTTTATTCCAGCAGAGCCTCCCTCCCTCCCTCCTCTCACCCCACCGTCCTTTGCATCTTAATCCTCTGACTTTACAAGATCTCCTTATCTCTCAATGTGTTTATTGCCCCGCCGCTTGTAGCAGCGGCAAATCAGCGAGGCCTCACCTGATGGCACTGACGCAGGATTGAAGGGAGCGAACAGTTCCGTGGGGGGCTGCAGGCCCTGCAAGGGGTCGAGGGTGTTGGCGGGGGATGCTGGGGTCTGTGGGAGTTGGACATCAGAAAAGCAGGCGAAAAAAAATTAAGGCAGTTTGCTTAAAGGAGACACGTCGTGTTGATGTGGCCGTTACTCACGGATGGGGAGGTTATGTCAGGCGGCGTAGACATGTCTCCAAAAATCTCTAACTGGCTGATGTTCTGAGAATGAGAGAAATAACAAAGAGGCGGTCAGGAGCGATGGCTGCACCCCTGTCTGGAAACATATGGTGAAGTGGTTAGCATTCCGATGCAACATGCATCGCAAAGTGCATGCAACACAGGGGCAGCTTTCGGCAGGTAAACACCACCTACCTGAACTGGACTGCAGCAACACAGAGGAGGGGAACAAAGAGGTTAGCAGAGATGGGATGATCAGGATGGTATACCCACCGTGACTCATAAGACTGTATGAACTCGGATTAAAGACGTATCCATTAGCTGATCTCAGATTAGAGGAAAACACCCCCTAACATGTTCACTGTACGAGAGCCCTGTTCTGTTCATGGTTTTCACTCATTAAAGGAATAGTACACCCAAAACATGATTAGCCTTCATTTTCTACTCACCCCCATGCTGAACAACACTCTGGAGTACTTTTTTGATATCTCAAATGCATCTAGAGATCTGGGAGGCTTCTTGCTGTCTGCTGACATTCAAATAATGGAGGTCTATGGCGCCCGAGGCAGAAAGGTCCATAAAAGTCCACAAAAACGTGTCAATATTCCTCCATACTGCTCGTCCAATGTATTCCAAGTGTCCTGAGTGGGTAGCGTCCAGAATTTACTCGAAACGAAGTCATTTAGAATGTTTTTAGAGCATAAACAGTAGTGTATAGGATTTCCTGAAAGCGCGTTCACGAGTCTACGGAAACCGCGGCAGACCAAACCAGATGAAAGTGCGCATTCAGCTCGGCAAAGAACTCATGCTCTTCCTCAACACTGAAGTCCTCAGACATTTTTCTTTCGTTGTTTCTTTCTTTGCACAGGTAAACAGCACATTTCTTCTTCTACGCTTGCATTATCGGCAGAGCAGATGCTGAATGCGCACTTTCATCTGGTTTGGTCTGCCGGCTTCCGTAGCGTCCTGAACGCGCTGGCGCGCGCTTTCAGGAAATCCTATACACTACTGTTTATGCTCTAAAAACATTCTAAATGACTTCGTTTCGAGTAAATTCTGGACGCTACCCACTCAGGACACTTGGAATACATCGGACGAGCAGTATGGAGGAATATTGACACGTTTTTTGTGGACTTTTATGGACCTTTCTGCCTCGGGCGCCATAGACCTCCATTATTTGAATGTCAGCAAACAGCAAGAAGCCTCCCAGATCTCCAGATGCATTTGAGATATCAAAAAAGTACTCCAGAGTGTTGTTCAGCATGGGGGTGATTAGAAAATGAAGGCTAATCATGTTTTGGGTGTACTATTCCTTTAAGGATGAATGTTTCGTCTCAGATGGAGCAACTATCAGATGCAGGGACTTTTCTTTTTGATTTGTATGATTTTGTTTCCTTGCACGGATTTCCATGGTTCTCCTTAATAACTCTCTCCTTCTTTGCACATTACTAATATCTTATGGCCTGTGGCTACTGCAGGAGACTATTTTTAGTTGATAAAAGAATTTAAGCCTTGAATACATGGTCAGAGATTTGCATAAATCATGGATACGGATCATTTCTGCAGAGATAATGAATGTTCTTAGAATATCGTCTCTCCCGTTCCCGCATGGGTCATGCAGACAAGAAAGTTCTTTTGTGCATCTATCAGAAAATGGATCTGTGATCACAGCATTAAGTCACGGGGAGTTTACTTTACAAAGACTGGAAGGAGTGAAGCTATATGATGTATATTTCACTGTAGCACAAGCTGCCTTTGCAGAAAGCTCACCAAGATGAAGTGCTTAGCAAAGATATGGATAACACTACATCGACAAGACGCAGCAACAACATTTAATAATCAAATTTCCACTATTATAAGATATTTGTTTTGTAGTAATGTATAAGCAGACTGCTTAGAACATGACAAATTAATTTGAGGGATAATAGAAAATAGCAATTTACAGAGAAACCCGCTGGTAATCAGAATCTGGGAGATGTTGAGCTTGAAAAGCCAAACAAATGACTGGCTAATTGGAAAGCCAAACATCTGATCTCTGCAGATCAGTGCAGGCATCATCCCAAAAGGACGTTGGTACTTTGTAAAGAAAGTTCTGGTTAGTCTTTATTTAAGGGTTTTACAGGGAAAATCAACCTAAAACTGCAGTCTAACTGAAAGACAAGCCACTGCAGCGGAACTTTGGAAGAAAGGGGTTAAAATGAAGTCAGAGGAGGAAGAAAAAATCCAAAAACTACTTAAAAGAAAATCCTATTTTTTTTACATGTTTCAGTTCATTCAGTCTGTCAAACAGAGAGCAAACAATTGATATAATAGAAAGCCTAATGTGAGAATAGATTAGGTTCTTTGTTTTAACCTTTTTTTATTTTTTTTATCATGATGCTTGCTTTCCAGAAACCTTCCAGAAACCACATAGCAAAAAATTATTCTGAAAGTTCTTTAAATCTGAAATGATTCCATCCTGTTCAATAAATGATCAGTGTTTTTAATTCAGAGTAATTTTCCTGTGAATGTGCTTTACTGGAGGCATCCATGTTTGTCAAAGAACACTACTGCCACCCACTGGTGCCACCTACTGGTGACGTCACGGTGCGGTATCGGCTGTTGATCAAGTCCCAGTGCTGTATCTGGTGTTTGTCATAGAGACTGACATTTTTTCGGGAATCCCACAGGTCACGGGATTCCCGTGGGATGTATTAGTAACGATCACGTGATTGGGACGGTACAGGATTAAACATTAACGGGAGCAGACGGGAGCGGGAGCAAACCAATAGTATCTAAAAAAAAACTAGGATCGATGCCGAAAAATAAAATAAATAGAAAGAAAAAAACCCAGTACTGGCGCCGCCATTTTGTAGTTTTTTTCCTTGAAGCCTACACTATAATGCGAGTCAAAAAAACTACACGACCCAAAAACCAACAGTGCTTCCGCTCTGAATTTTTCACCCGCGCTCAAAAACAACAAGAATGGGAGTGGAGCAGGAGCGGGAGTGGGAGTAATTTCACCAGGAGTGGGACGGGACAGGATTTAGATTTTTACTCTGGCCCAGGATCGGGACGGGATACAATTTTTTTCTGTGGGAGCGGGACAGGACAGGAGTGAAAATCCACTGCCGTGTCAGTCTCTAGTTTGTCACAACGCGCTACTATCCAAGTCATTCCGTAAAATGACGAGCTAAAGGAGGGATTGTAACGACCGACCTTAAGAATCATAGACAGGTTTCAGATATTACAGACTAACAATGAAACCATACGACCCGCTCGTCGGTTTCAATTAGCATGTTTCCAAGCAATACAAGGCCTTGTCTCTATAAAGCCTCAAACTCATTGCGGATCCAGACATTTGAATTGAGAAAACTTCCTGGACGGGAAGCGAAATGTCTTCAAACCTTGGAAACCAAGTCCAGTGGATTGTTTTTAAACTTTTAAAGAATGACTATGACCTGGATGACTGAGAATCTTCACCAGCATATTATCCAAGTCATCTTGAAAACATTCTTCTTCCAAATGTTGGCTACATATTACGGGTTTTTTCTCTGGCCAGAAGTTCGATGGCAAATCCTCCCTCTTCAAGTTGGCGATCCAACGACCAACCCGTCCGTGGAGGATCAGGAATCAGAAAGGTGGAATAACTCTTTTTTTTTTCACTTTTCCCCGATGTATTCCAGCATCCAGCTGCCATGCACGTGGGCATTGTCAGTTTCACTATAGCTCTGGTGAATTTCAATGGTGAAGTCCTCTGGAAATCTTCAATAATTGTTGTTGATTGCAGATGTGTCTAGTAGTTCCCATTGATTTAGCTTGTAAAGCGGGGAGAATGGCGCTAGGCTTACCGCACCGTGACGTCACTGCTGGAAGATGGCAGGAGGGAGGGGCTACTATATTTGGGTAAAGATGGCCGCTCCCAGACTCAGTGATCGGGACGAAAAATATTGTTTTTATTTTTTTTTACTGATTAAGCTAAATTCCTTAAATCACTGTGAACATATTAGTTTTAGGAATAAATAATGATCCATTGATTATTCCTTGCTGACCGGACTTTTCCTCTAAAATAAGCATATTTACCCTTAATGGAATGAGGATGTTTAGCCGTAAAATAAGATAATTAGATATATACATGAAATAAGTGACTGTGTAAATTGTCTTATTTCACTGGTCAAATGTCTCACCTACCTGCTCAATAAAAAAATTTCTATTAATTTAATAAGAAAAAATGATTTACTTAGATTTCAGTTTATTGCAGTACACATTTGCATTTCCTTTTTACAACACTTCTGATGTTTTTGGGCTGACTCCATATTCTGAACCCACTTCACAGGGAAAATCCAACTTCACTTTCAGAATCCTTGTTGATTTTCCCTCTGAATGAATTTAAAACTCCTTCTCTGCATCTGGCAGCTGTCTTGTTGAGGTTATGTTTTCTGTCAGCAGCAGTTCATTTAGATCTCCTAACAATCTCTTAACCTGGAGACGCATCTGGATAATTAGACTATAGAAAATATTAGTTTCGGAAATGCAAATTCAATTTTTACTCCAGTGTCTTTGCTCAGAAAGACAACGAACGGGTCCACCCCTTTGGAATGGACCCAATCTAAAGGGTTGGACCTGTTCGTCTGTTTCAATTAGCATGTTTTCTAAAGGCTTTGTTTTGCTAATGTACTGTATAAAGCCTCTAACTGTCAAACTGAAAAAGCTTTCTGGATGGGAAGCGAAACATCTTCAAGCTTCGAAATCAAGTCCAGAGGAGTGTTTTTTTTTTTTTAATCTTTTTTGGAATTACTATGACCTGGATGACTGAGAATCTTCACCAGGATGTTTTTCATGTAGAAAGATCATTTTTTATGATGTCCGATTGAGTTTGAACTTTGTCTGCTGGATATTTTCTCAACCCGTGGAGCTAATGGCGCGGTTTTGTCTCTGCTACATCTATTTTTTAAGTTTTGGACTCACACACAGGTTTGTGTAAGGTAGATGTGTAGCAGTGCAGCATCTTAATGTCCTTCTGGCCAAACTTGGCTGCTATAGCAACAGGGAACATGCATTTTTTATTCAGTAATGACAGAGGTCTACAGTTGGGGTCACCTCAGACTAAAGGAGAACAAGAGGTGCAGAACAGAGCAGGACGTAATGACAAAAGCTCATCTAAGGAAGTGACTGGGGAAGTAACTAATGAGGGCAGAACGGTAACCTTTATGGCAGAATGTTGACTGCTGGAAAATCAAGGAATATTGCCTCTGTGTGTCAGAATACAGCGCCTTACCTGAGTCACCTTATCCAGATCTAAGTCTATCAGATCTGCAGCTTCCTGCTGCTTCTGCTGCTCTTTTTGTTGAAGGGATTTCTCATGCTTATGACGATGATGATGATGATGATGGGGGGTCTTTTGATGTCCGTTCTGTAACCCAAACCCCAGTGTTAGATGACAGGTGGGATGGAAACGTTCTCACACACAAACATGTTAGTTATTGTTGCATTCATCCAGACAGTGAAACAGATATTTATCTATACCACTAACCGTTATATAAACTAAATTTTACAAATGTTTTTTTTCTCCAACCCTTTCCACCAAATGTTATCCCTCTAAAAGGCTCCACCAAACATCAATGTGATGAAGGGTTTCTCCATTCCTCTTTTCAGCGCTGGTCCAAACCCAAGGTGCAGATTGGTCCAGCCAAGCCAGTACACTGTTTGCTGCGTGGCAATATTATTGAGTGTGTTGCTTTCATTGGATGAAAGCATGAGATATGGCCGTCATTAGCCGATACTGAAAAACAATAACATATTGCCCAGTAGTAATCAGGTCTAAAAGCGCCGCTCATTTTTCTACTCAGCTTTGTTCCCTCTAAAAATTTGAACTCATAATCACTCATTTCAATCTAGCTGATGAAACACATTTGTCTGAATTTGTGTGTGGGTGTGTTGCTGCGTTTTATCCTTTGAATCATACAGTATCTGCCATCTTTGCTGAAAGTTGCAGTCTGCTGCTGGCCTTCCCTCCGTTTGTCCTTCTATCCTCATTCTCTCTCGCTTTCTTCGCTGCCAATTATCCCTTTGTGCCCGTTAGACGCTCTCGCCATCTCTTCGCCCAGCCCACAGTCCCCATCAGCGCAGCCACAACCTATCAATTAGCCATCTCTAGGGACACGGTAATTACCTGTGCACATGTGTTCTGCATACAATTAATGCATCCCCTTTAATTAACACCACCTTGTTGATTCCCTGCCGAGTGACTGATCTCGCTGGCGTGCAGCGCAAACACCGCCTGACCTTGTGCAAACATTGCACACAACAGACACAAAACAAGGTGGGAAAATAAAAGCATGTATGGCTGAGTATTGTCTCCTTTTTCACGAGCATCTGAAACTGCCTGCGAGTCCTGCATCTCACAGAGTTTATGAATAATTACAGAATCCTTACAAAAGCTTTCAGATTTTGGGAAATTACATCACAAACTTTGATATGTTTGTTTAGGCTTTTATGTTGATTGGGAAAGAAAATGATGGAATGGATTTAAAGTTTCAAAAAAATAAAAACTTAAAAACATACATTATATTAATCCATCCTGCATGAGTAACTTAACTTTAAATTGCTTTAATGTGATACCTCTATAAAAACAATCAGAACTACAATTGGCCCTCAGAACCAAAATGTTATGTGGTAGAAAACTGACACTACACAACATCTCTACTATAAAGCATGGTGGTGGCAGAATTATGCTAAGGGGATATTTTTCTCTGGCAAGGACAGTTATTTAGCTAAGTTTTTAATCAAATGCTTAATGGACCGGACAGGCCCAGTTGAAGTCTTGGCCTGTTTTTCAGTGTAGTCCTGTTTCTCTGACTGTGACTAACTGGATGTGCTCTCTTCATCCTCTGACATGGGAGCTGGCGTGGGGCTCGTCTGCCTGGCTGTGTTTTTTCTGGATGGGGCCGCCTTTTAGAGTTGCCTTTTTTTAATCTATGCTTCTTTTTCTATGTCTGCTTATGTCTCCTTGAACCCCAGTGGGCCTCAGCAGATGGCCGCTCACACTGAGCCTGGTTCTGCTGGAGGTTTCTTCCTGTTCAAAGGGAGTTTTTCCTCTCCACTGTCGCTACAAGCGTGCTTAGTGTGAGGGATTGCTGAAGAGTCAATGAGTCGATGCAATCAGCTGGTTTTCCTTAGATAGAAAACTTTGAATCAATCTGACTGGATGATCTGGTGAACTGGAAAGAGCCTTGAGATGACATGATGTGAATTGGAGCTATAGAAATAAACTGAATAGAAATGAAGTCCAGATCTAAATGCAGGGAATAAATCTGAGGCTAGACATAAAAAATGATGCTCCCCGTTCTTTGAGCCAATCAGAATGGTCAGAGGTTTTATACTCAAAAAGCTGCCGGCCCAACATACTTGCTGCTTTGTTTGCAACTAAAGGTGCTTTGAACGATTTGCTAAAAAGCACATCCCGCTTTAGGGATGTTATTTTTATAAAATGCTGTTGAGAGCCATGCTTTTCTTTCCTTTCACCTAAAAACGATGCAGTAAATGTCCTGTACTCGTATAGCCTTTTATCAAGGCGAAGGACCTCAAATTGCTTTGCTCTACATTCAATCATTCACCCATTCATGCAGACATTCACACACTGATGCTGCTGAGCTACATTATAGCCATAGCTGCTGGGGGCTCACTGACAGGAATGATTACACTACCAAATCTATCCCATACAAGCCCCTTACCCCAGCAAAATATCTCAACCTTTCTGATTGAAACGTGATAAAACCCCAAAACGTCATTTGGTACTCTATGGACATCTTTACTGGGCAGAGTGGAATGATTGAGTAGGTCCAGACCTACACTAATATAGACAAACAGGATGGAACCTCTACAGCTCTGCACATGCATGCACTGCATAACCTTTACTCTCATAGCAATGATGGTATCGGATCATGTAGCAGTAATCCAGTGTTTGAGTGGAGATGTTTCCTCAGTCCACCAGAAATGTAATATGCTGACCTCTGCATGTGGGCGCTGAGGCTTCTGTTGATTCAACTCTATTACAGGTCTTACGAGATCAAGAGCTCAGTAGATTGGAATTCCCTTTTGGGTTTATGTGTGTGTGTTTTATTGATTTTCCATCGTTTAAGGAGGTGATAGAGTAAACACCAGCAGGGATCACTGCAGACGGGATGTCACGTCTGTACTGATGGAATCATTTTATCTGAGGTGGGAGGAGGGGGGCACGCATGCAGGGATGTCATTTGATGCCATTGACCACCGTCAGCCAGTTGAGAACAGCGTGGATCACTAGTGAAAGCTGTGATCATAGGCAGGGCTGGCCTAAGGTTCGGCTGACCTCCAAGTGTTTAAAAATTGTATTGTAGGATATTTACTTTGAGGGAACAAACAATTATTGCTTAAATCTGAGGTTGCCAAAGTGTATTTGTGTGTGGGAGGGGGTGGGGGCGCGTTAGTAAAATCATTTCAATAAACTAGTATTTTTTGTCCCTCAAGGACCGACTTTGGGGATTCCTGCGGTACATATACACTAATGTTAAATAACGACAGATAAATCACTGCAGTATGGCAACATATTTTTATTATCAGTGCGTATGAAATCGTACGAAAAGTTATGCACACTATTTCGTACGTTTTGGACGTTTTTCCTCAAAAAACCAGATCAGTGCACATGCGCTGGCAGACAGAAAAAAAAGCAGATTCGCGGACGGACATAAAACTAACTACGTTGCTTGCTGTTTTATATCTTAGGGTTAGGGCTAATTGTAATTTATATTCTACATTCATGAATGGTGCGTAAGATGCGCATACGCATGAAAAAAACGTCCAAAACGTACAAAATTATGGTGCATAACTTTTCGTACGATTTCATACGCACCCATAATGAGAATAGGTTTGAGTATGGGGGTAGTAAAGGGGGCTAATTGGAGGGACTGCTGTAAAAAAACCTTTATTTTTATTTTTTTCTGGTAAATTAGATTAGCGCAAATAAGAAAACTTTGTAAACCACAGCTTAAAACTTACTATGGGAGCTGTTTCAATCAGTTTGTAACAATTAATAAATAGATATCAGTTAGAATAATAAACACATTTTTTTTTTACCATATAAGGTGTAAATAAATTAAGATTTTCTTACTTCCATGTCTTTGCAGCCATCTTCAGTGTGTAACTATGAATCAAGCTTAATTAGATTTACCTGCAACGTTCTATTCTGTTAGAAATGTGTGCAAAAATACGCCAATATTCTGCTAAATTCGAAAATACAAAGTTTCGCAATTATTTTATTTACAAGAAAACATGACAGCAGCGGATCTCAACACATGAGATATATCCATATTTCAGCCACAGCTCTAGAGGGCGCCATCCTCCTCCAACTACTTCTGGTTTTCTTCTTCATCTATTTCTAAGGCAGTAAAGTCCGGCTGCTGATTACGTGACTAATGCGATCCGAAAACAGCATTTCTATCGCGGTTTTGTGAAATACAACAGAAAAACATCCCATTGAAGCATAAAAAAAATTTTCTATCAGGAAATGTGATTTTTTTTTTTTTTTGGCAAATTTATTTTCCTGTTCACAATTCTCAGGATTTAACATTTAATGGAAATGCAACTAGTGATGTATAAATGTGTTTTTAGGTAGGCACCTGACCCAAAATGTCCTACTGCATCTGGATGTAGGGTTGTATGCTCGTTTGAGAGCATAATTAGATGTGTTTATTTTTATGAAAAGTGTTTTTAGTCGAGGCTACACCTAAAAACAAAACTATATACTTTCAGCCTATTTTCCATTTACTTAGAGAGAGCATTAACATCTAAAACACAACGGAAAATACTAAACTACGGTAGCAGTAGAATAAACTATATTCTAATAAACATGGAGCAGCAGCAGATCAGCTAAATTAGAAAGAAACCTCCACAGTATTTACTCAGCCAGAACGATTTAGCAAAAATATCACGATTGTGATTATTTTCTGCCAATATTTCAATTTATTTTGATTTCCTTTGCATGTAAATCACCTTAAAAGTTTGCTTTTTCAAAGTCCATTGTTGCAGGGCTTTGCTGTAACCTTGCATGCAGTTATTCCACTTGCGTGCATGAATCTGTGTACTAACAACAACTCTCTCTTCCCCTGTGTGTAGCAGCAGACCCACTTTAAGCCTATTTCCACCACCTGAAGGCTGGAGTAAAAACACTTGCATCTTACTCCTGTAAAATTAACATAAACAAAACTAAGGGTCTCTGGGATTAGAAATTTGCATTTTTGTTTAATTGCGATTTTATTACAATTTACTGCCCAGCCCAAATATTTACACAAAAACTTAAGGTGGTGGAGGATGTTCTTTTTTTCCTGGTGGATCATCATAAGGCCATCCTACTTGCTCGTCCTGTTAACTTTTCTCGTCCTGTTATCTTTTTCTGCACATGCGCACTTTCAGGCGTATATCTGTGGTGAGCTACGGTTTCAGAAAGTCATTGAAGCTCACCTTTCACTTTGAAAATGGCCGAGCGTTGTAAGAGAAAAAGTGTCTACGAAGTTTGAGAAGAAAAGAAAGGCCTCAGAAGAGAGAAACCAGACCAGAACGTTTTTGACAGATTCTTTTACATGATGGTGTTCACTGAAAGCAAAGGTCTGGCTTCCCAATGATGCCTCGGATGCAAAGTTTCTACTCGACAGGTAAAGTTTGGCTATTTGGAGAAATCATATTTGGTAATATGAGGAGAAAATACGGGCTCATGCACGCTCTTGCACACGTTTAATACGCGTTCCCTCTCGGGTACGGCTACAGGGTTGTGCATGTGCAAGTGGAGAGGGCGGGTCTTTTAAAAGATTTGTGAGATCCTCCACTTTGAGAAACACAACCTTATAGACTAAAACCTTTTTTCTCACAGACACAAAACTAATCAATATGTTGAATATCAATCTGTTTTTTCATTAAATGGATTTAAAATATAGATGAACATTTTTATGTTTTTTTAAGTTTTAATAACCTTGTTACAGACAGCCGGCTCATGCCAAAGCTATTTAAGAAACATTGAGTCTATGGAAGCGAATCGTTACCATATTTAAAATGAAAAAGTATTTCCAGAAATGCTTTTTCATTTTAGGAATGTGGCTGCATTGTTTGACTCATAAATGAAATTACTAATCAATAATCATGGTTGCATTTTCATTTTCTTCTTCAACACCACTCATCCTTTTACTTAATTAAAATTAAAAAAGATATTTGAGATTTATTTGTCAAAATTAGGGATGCACGATATAATCGGCCCCCTATTGGTATCGGCCTTAAAACTGAATATCGGACATCGGCCACCCCACCGATATTTAACCCGATATTTGATCAGCTTCTGAGTTTCTAAAGTCTAAAAAAAAATAAAAATAAATACTACTTCTTCTTCTTCCTCAAAGACTTCTTTTTTACAGACTTAAAAACTTCTAAAGACGAGGGAAAAAATATTGATCCATTAAAATATCCCAATATCTTCATATGCTGATATATTGCCATTTAAAAACACCATATCAATCTCTTTTACTAATGAAATATTGCTATATGTCATCGTTATGCTACGAAATCCCCCGAAAATTCACCAAATTTTTATATGTTGATATATTGACGCGGTATCGATCTATTTTACTAACAAAATCTCACAAGAATTTGCAAAATATCACGAGAGTTTGTAACAGAACGATGAAATTTCACCAGATTTTGAAAGTAAAATAGATCGATACCGCGTTTTTAAAAATCAATTTGATATCAGCATATGAAAATATATTTGAGTATATTATTTTTCAAAGTGTCAGAAATGGATAACAAAACTGCTATTTTCAATGACTACTTATTTTTGTCCAGCTTTAACATCGGTATCGATATCGGTTATCGGCTACATGACTTTTAAAATATCGGCATATCGGATATCGGCCAAAATCCCAATATCGTGCATCCCTAGTCAAAATGTACGCCAGCAAATTCATACCAAAATTCAATTCGAAATGTAAAATTTGAAAATGAAAAAGCATTTCCAGAAATGCTTTTTCATTTTAGGAATGTGGCTGCATTATCTGACTCATAAATGAAATTAGTTAGCAAATCATCCGATTTGCATTTGTATTTTCTTCTTTAAGACTGCACATTTTATGCCATAATCAAAGAGAAAACACAGCGGACATTGCTTTTTCATTTCCATAGTCTGCCTGCAAAGTTCTGTCCATAACTCGA